TTAATATAGATGCGTCATCATCTTGAATTATACGCACAACATTTTTATATCGTCATCTGATGGTGAAACGGCGAGAACTTATTCACACTCTCAATATTATATTTTATTTATTTACTAATTATTTTTGTTAATTGTATTTCAAATTCACTAATATTTTACATTAATAATTGTTCGAGATTGAGCGTTCAATCCCGATAGGTCCAAGTCATAAAACCACTCAAATCGATAACAATAAGGGAATCACGCGTGTAATCAAGCCGTGACCCTAAATGTTTATGCCAAATCACGTGTTAAGCGACCGCGTGTATGATGCTGTACGTGCCGTCGCCACAGCAACCGCAGCCTAACACAAAACAAAAAAAAAGTACGAAAGCGTTTGGGAGCGTTAGAAACGGGAATCAAGTTTTTTTATTTCGCAGGCTTGATAGCCGTAGCCAATCCGCGTTTGCCAAGCGCCACGAATCATTCTCCTAAAAGGGAACAAATTCAAATCGAACACACATTCTAACAGATCTTTATTGAAACCATATTCGCTCACGGATCTATTCAAGGCGCGATTAGATCTCTTTCTTTGGTTTTGGTTTTTTAAGTTCACTGCAACTTAACCGGTTCGCAATATTCTCTCAAATCGTTCTCCCGTGTTCACGTTTCTTTCGGTTCTATCGCTCTCTACGCTTCATCTCGCGCTCACACTTTGCACCGTGTGCTTATTTATTAGTTTTCGGAGCCTACTGTTCACCGTCGGCACTATTCATTAACCTTGCTTACCGAATTCGTTTTATATGTTGTTTACTGTTAAGTGCGCCCTGCGTTTGTTTGTAAAAGCTTCCCGAGCGCTTTATCATAACTAAGAGATACGCGTTTGCGATCGCACTAGCCTCGTGCGAGAATCTCCGACGCTTTCGCAAAGACTAAGTTCGTCCAGTCGAGCTTAACAACCCACGCTCCGCAAATCTCCGTCGCGAATCGCTCGATTAAATTCAAACAGGTGTTTCGAGGACTTCCGTTAAACAACGAGATTGATCTCTCTATCGATCTAAAATTATCGATCGTCGTCCTGTTCGAAGTTCATTCTGCAAATAAAGCCTTAAACAAAAGGGGTCGATAAAAGTTAAATTCAGCGCCTCGCCCATCCTCACGCCACCCAATCGCTCGAGCTATCCGGGGAGTTCGCTCGCTGTCGATATTCAAGGCCGTGCGCGAAGAATAATACTTATAGAATAGTATTTAGAATAGCACTCGTTAGTGGCAATCATTAATTTGTCTTATTGCATATTTTTTATACTTCTTATACTGTTTTTTTTCGGAGAAAATACTTTCTTTAGATTTAATATTCGTACTTGTTTAATTTTGTGGTTTTTTTTATTTCATTAAAATATTATTCTTAAACGAAATATCATTTTTTTAAATAATGAAAATAAAACTTTTATTTCGTTCAAGGAAACCTTTTTTTTTTAAGGCAGAGGAAATGCGTTACGCACACCCCCGGGAAAGACAGGACTTTCCCAGGAGTAGTGTGGGACTCTCCCCCCCGGAACTAGCGGCCGGGGGGGGCCTACCAACCAAAACCTCAGCCGGGTCCCTTGCGGCTATTGCGAGGACGTCCCGGGAACCGCTTGCGCATTACTTCCGGGACGTCTTCAGCCGCAGGGCGGGGAAACTCCGCCCCCTTCCCGGGCCAGGAGGGATAATTCCTTCCCGGCCCGCTGTCCGATCCTCCACGACCGGACGTGGGCCCTCCCGTCCGGTCACACCTCACCTGTAGGGGCGCTATTGGCCGAGTCCGGTCCCGTCCGGACCCGGCCCGCCCCAACCCTCCCGACCGAGGTTGCTGAGGCGGAGGGATCTAAAAGTTTTCCTCCGCCCCTCTTGGTTAGGAGCCTCCTGGCTCTGGGAGGGGGGTGAGCGGCCTGAGAGTCCGCCCTGACGACCCGGCTACCCTGCCCCTCTCCCGGAGGCGCCTGGTCTGACTTCTTGTCACAGGGGAGCGGGAGTCGCACCTTGCGACGCGTCTCCCCCGTCCGACCAGGCGCCTCCTATCTCCCCCGCGCCGGGCCCTCCGTTGATCAGGAGGGCCCGGCGGTATTG